TGGAACAACCCTCTCAGTGAAACAACCAAGTCAAGTGAAAGATCATTCCCGGCAGTGTTTCTGGGTGCTGCTTTTCAGGTGATTCTGCGCCGGTACCGTGGCATCAGAAGATCCGCAGGAATTATCCTCGAACGGGCGATAGCGCGTGTGCCTTCTGGAAAGAAGACGAGGGCGATGAGAGGCGGCAAACCACACGGAACAGGACACGTGATCGCACGTATCACACGTCTATATTCGGCAGGCAAAATGTTTGTTTCTGGCCGAGCACAGATGGCATAGACTCAGACTGCTGGTTCCGTGAAGCTCGCGGGAGAGAGAGAGAGAGAGGGGGGGGGCCTGCTGATAAAAGGGGTTTGTTATAGACAAGTTCCCACGTCTCATTCAGTTTTAATGGTCCCCTCCTTTTGCTGATACAGTTTAGCTTTGCAAAGCTGACTTCTTGTCAAGGGATTTATGCACCGGCGTAATTATAGCCTTTATGATGATGCTCTTGTTTGCCCTGGCATTCCCTTGCAGCAGCCTCAGCAACAAACGCTCTTCATTGGTGCATCTCCAATGTGACAAAGAAGAAGCAAACACACGCAAAAAACATTGCCACTTCAGACTTCAGGTTGACCATCGTCCAGTTTTTCGTTTATATACATGTTTGATCGCTGACTGGTTGTGAAGCCACTTATTTTGAGGACTATGTGCTTGTGCACAAACTTGCCCAACCTTTGGCTGAATCCACATGCACCACGTTTCAGATTGCGGATCCATCATCCACTCCTCTCAGTAACCGTATTATATTTTTATATATGGCCCTCAAATCATCCCAAATCACCCCGGGCCTATGCATGGATCATTCCCTTGTGCAGAGGAAACTTGTTTGTGCAAGTTCCACGTTCCACCTCTGAAGAAAAGAAAAGACCTGGGTGGTTCTGATGTGAGTCGCCAAAATGACAAACAAATAAACAACAAACGCTCCTACATGTCCCCATATGTCCCCACCCCATATCACGTATATGCAGCTTGCATTCAGTTTGCATATATAGTGCGGAAATCCCCCACAACTTCTCCCCCCACACACAACCACCACAATCCCTTCAGGCAGCACGAGTGCCTCATCCTCATCCGCCCCAATAGCGACGGGGACCGCGGTCGGTGCTCGGCCTATGTGGTGGTTCGCCTGTGCGAGGACCGCTTCGCGAACTGGGCCCGGGAGCCTTGGCCGAGCGGCACGGGCATGAGGAGGACTGGATCGAGACAAGACCTGCGACCACTGGATGAATCCAAGCAGTTCATATGCTTGATTGAAGGCTAAGCACTCAGCCAGCTAAAGACAGTGGCAACTGGCATGTGCTTGGGGTAGGTGAAAGTTACAGTACATAAAATGATCTGGTTGAAACGACCCGTGGGGTCGTGTGGAGCCCAAACGACCTGATCCACTCAAGGAGGTCCGATCCCCATCGCCTGAGGAACACTTCAGCCTCGTCCTCAGCTCGGCACGGCGAACGGCCTTGGCTTACCTGAACCGCCCCGGGGTCGTGCAGCTGCGGGAGCAAGACCGACGTCGCTCGGCAGGCTGTGCGCCAGGCCGATGTCGCGGTGCGCCAGGCATGTTGTTGGGTTGTCGATTGATCAGTTGGTTGCCGCGCACGTTCACGCGGCACATCACATGTCATGCATTGTTTCGACGGCCTAGTGCTACATGTGTGGTGCAGGAGACCCACCCCTCAAATAATGCAAAGACACAAACCCCACGTACGTCCCATCCCATTATACATGATCGGCTGTCGCAGGGGCTGTCGCAGGGCTGTGGCTAAGTGAGACTTGTGCATATTTGCATTGTACATTGTGGGTTTTGGTGAAGAATGGTCCAGTGTGGTAGTACCAGTGGTAGTACCTATAGTTAGCTAAACTGTTAGCTGTAACAATACCAGCAGTAAGTTCAGAAGTAATACCAGACATAAGTTCAGACAACTGTTCAGACATAGTATCAGACATCAATAGTGAGATTGATCATAGCATCAATCAAGTCATCAATCATTACAAGGTTGTTAGAAGTCTAGTTACAAGTCCTGGTAGCAGTCCTCCGTTGCCTACTTTTCGGCTTGCGTTGTAGAGCCCACCCACCTCTTTTCACTGCTCAGTGGAAAATCCGTGACTTGAATTAGTACTGGATAGAGTTCTGGATGGTGGTGTGACTAGTAATGCAGTTTAGCCCACACTTGAGTGCATTCTTCACTAAAATTCCGACTCTCAGACCCACAATGTACACAAATATGTTCAGTTCAGTGTTCACTTGACTTGGGTGACTGAGGCCCCATAGTCTCCGTAGCAATGCTACCAATATCAGCCTCGAGTGGTGGGAGGTTTTTCATACAAGGAACAGGAGTGGGTGCAGGATATTTGGGTCACACTCTTTCGGGGAAATCACTCCATAACACATTTTGCTACACGATGCTCCACGCCGCAACGCCGTTTCAGAAAGCCGTTTCACGGCGGCAGAACGGGCGCGGCTCCCGTGGGGCAGCGGGGCAGCGCCTGGTACCATGACTTATGTGTTGGTTCGTTACAAGTCTCTATGGACATGATGACTTGTTCTGTTGAGCCTGGGAAGAGCATGAGTCCATTGGTTGATTGCGAACATGTGGGCCTCCAAGACGCATTGCCATATTGCGCCGACCTTGTCCAACAATCATCATAGGTTGCCACACATGAAGTGAATACTTCCTCTTCGGATCTTTGGCGGAATGCCCTAATTGGAGCAAATCCGTGTGTCAAGTTTTTCGATGGGACGCCCCTGAATCCTTGATCCTTGGATGGGGTAAGGGTATGTATAGAGGATGATAAGAGGACTTCTCGAGTTTCATTCCTGTAAGGCTTCTACGTGATCATCTCCCTCCAAAGCTTCAAGCGTGGAATGCCTCTCCTGCCAGCCTACAAGACTGAGCCTTCTTTGACGGAGATCGACGCGGGCACGCCTTACGGGCTTCGGAGGTGGTTGAGGCGCCCAAACATGTGAGGGGCGGTTGGGTGCGACAAGGCTATGACTATGAGACATAATTTCTTCCACCTATTAAAAAAACACAAGGCCTCCCCCCCCTAATAAGGAAACCTCGGTCGCATTTTTTTCTAATAGGGGGTCCCTGAAATCGGAGGGTCCAAAATAGGGTCACCTGGAAAGAGTTTCAAAACCAAACAGTTTAAAACTCGTATCAAACATGCAAAAAACCTCCAGATCGAAGGGTTTTCCTTTTCCCCTACAAAGACCTTCATTAGAATAGTGATTCTTCAGTATAGACTAGCAGCTAAAGCTTTCGAAAGGTGATGTCGCTGTGCCATGCGCTGTTGCATGACCTCGGTGGCAAGTGCGTTTGCGTGAGTCCGTGCCATTGGGGGAAGGAAAGCCTGCTGGTGTAAGCACGGCGTGTCATGGTGGATAGACAGAGCGGACAGAGGTGCACAGTTACGGTTGTTTTTGGAACCTAATAAGAAAAACCTCTCCAAACTCGGCCATGTTGGTAGTTTAGTAGCGGCTTGAAAGGGCGGTAATTTAAAAACAAATATAAGCCGTATTTAGGGGGATCCGACATGACCTTTGTTTTTTAATTGGGGTCTTTTTTTAATAGGTACTCGGGATGAACTGTGATATTGTACAACTGTATAACCATGTGTTTGTTCATCGTGTGGTGGGCTAGCTAACTCGTGCCTGAAGTCCAATCAATCGAAGAAGTCCGGGCAGGTATGAGCTCAGCTCCTCCTCGAAGTTTCACTTGGCAGACTATTTGAAGGTTTTCCTACGACGCCTGGGAGTGGAGATCGAGGCATATGTGCCTCAGATGCAGAATCAGGCAATATG